GCTTTGAGATCCAGGGCTTATCATGGTTTTATTTGGGTTCTTTGACAGTTTTTGGAGAGTCTCCCTTAGCATGTTTCCTTGCCTCAACAAAAGACACTTGTGATAGTGGTTTTGTATAGCGGGCAATGACAGGACATGCCACTTCACCAGGAATCTTCTGCCTGCACTGGATAAGCAACATTTAGTGTGTAGTCGTGCCACACAGCATTAGAGAAGAGCTTGTTTTCCTCATAAATAAAGAGCTAACACTTAAGCAGTATCCATCTGCCAGTCTCTCAAGTTGTCCCTGAAATTACATGTGATGCTCTAGAAGGTTACAGTGCTGGTGACACTGATGAAGTACTTTCATACAGGTATAAACAAGGCACTGCAAAAATATAGTAGTGATACTTCTACTGAAACATAGCAAATTCATCAAAACATTTTGAAATTTGTTTTTCATGCTCTTTTTAGAGACGTAATTCAGCATTTTAGAGAATGAGATTTGTGACAAACCTCATTGGTTATGTCAGTCAGACCACAAAAACTGGAAGCTCTTGTGACACTGCTGTCAAGAGCGATTGGTTCTGGGCTAGCTGTAAAGGTGAAAAACTTTATGCCTTTTCATGCTCTGGTTGTCGATACTGTCAAAATGACTCAGACTGTAATGCTGAGATTTTTTTACAGATACTCGTTTATTTACCCTTGTAAATTTAATTGAACATTTCCAGAAGGAAACTGGACACTGGAGCTGGTCCTGCCACCCAATGGTAATGTTAGGGAATTATTTTTCATTGTTTCTCTTAATATAAAATCTGGTGGAAAGCATACAGATTTAAGTAGCGAGTCCAAAAGAAACAAAAAGAGGCTTTCCCCCCCCCCCCAAAAAAAAAGGGCCTCCCCCCCCCCCCAATAGTACAAGGTGCCGCTCTCAATACAGGTACTCCCTTTGTCCCTAGCTTTGGTGGTTTGGGTTAGAGTCAGAATTTTGGATGCTACTCTTAAAACTGAGGCACTGATGGTGTCTTCAGCAGTTTCAGAGCATGGTACAGCTCTCAAAGTTTCTTAAAAATTGGCGGCACACTGAAAGAGAGGAACCTGATCAGGTCCTGCATTGAGGGAGAGTGTAGCAGAACTCTGCTGTTTTACTTGCCTCTTGTAGCAGCTGGATGTTCAACACATACATACATCCTCGCCTCAGACAGCACTCACAAATTTACTGGCTGATTACCATTTACTCTAAACATAACTGGGGGTATCACTGAAGACGTGGGTGGAAAAGTTGACATTGAGGAAATGGGTTATTCTGTTGGACGGGTAAAAGGACCTCAGGAAATAATTCACAGGCAAAACACTATTATTTTGTTTTTCTGCTGTGTATCTTGTTATTTTTAAAAACTTGTTTCAGCCAAAGCAATTATCAAATTTTGAGTGAATAGGTGAAATGTTTCTGGCTGCCTTAGAACTGAAAAATAGAAGAATTTCTCCCATCTCCACATATCACTCAGCTGGTGATGTGTGGAATAAAGACAGTCGATTTGTGAGAGTGGTTTCTGTGAATGAAGAAGTTCTGATTACTGCACAGGGGAAAACTCACATAAAATAGAGCAGTCTCTGTTTTTGCAAGAATTTTAGCAGGAATTTTTAAATTCTGCAATAGTGCTTAAGGCTCAAAGTGATGGAAGCTTAAAGAAAGATATTGCAGATACAGTAACATATTCTGAAAAAATACATTTCAGTCATATCCTCATAAAAGGCCAGCAGAGGATGGGCAGGTAAATTCTAAAACATTAATTCACCTGTACACTCACTGAAGTCTTTTACAATGTCTAGGGAGTCAAAATACAATATATGAAAAGGTCTTGGAGGGTTTGTCCAATTTCAAAAATTTGTAATATTGTTCTAAAATCTGTTATACTTTTTTGCAAAACTATATGATTATGAAAGGCAATTCTTTATTTTGCAGACTGTTTGATAATAGAATATTGTATGTAAAAATACTGTTACCTTGCTACAATTAGCAGCTCAGGGGACATTTGTTCTTGTAGCTAAAAGCCTGAGCTGGGGCACAGAAGGCTCCAGCTCCAGCTCATTCCTCAGAATTGTGGGGCACACAATTCATTATC